GTACTATGGGTGTGATCGTGTGGTTAATCTCCCCACTGTTTATTCAAAGAGACATACTTTCACTGCTAATTTAAGTAAAACGTGATTAATTTATGTATTGTTTAATACAGTAATATAATTCTGCGCACATCCTGATTAGGGAGAATCTCATATTGTACCAACGTATAAGACACGGGACTCTATTCCTCTTATTAGTCCGTGTAGAATAAGTACCGATATCACACTACAGGGCCGTAGCACTGACGAAATGTCCATGGCTGAATTCGGATAGGTAATCATACGGTTTGGACATAGTTAGTAGAATTAATTTAAAACCGTATGATTACTTATTAATAATATAAACATGAAAAAATTTGCGTGGAGGAAGTGCCGGAAGACCTTTTTTGAAGCCATTTTTTCTCATTCGAGAAAACTTTTTTCAAAGTTTCCGCACAAAATTTCCCTCATCATTTTACGTAATATCATTGGCTTCGAAAATTTCCTATTGTCTTTCAGTCAATCATAATCCTTTATTACGATGTGTAATTTGCACTGGTGTTACACTTTTTGCACCGGTGTTACAGTTTTTGCACTTTTTACACTTTTTACACTTGAACTGCACTGCTGTCAGCCAATCAGAATCGAGTTATTTTTTCATGTATATTATTATCTTATTTATTTGCTAGCAGTGTTCTACTTTCCCCTCTTAAACAACATCAACGCTCTACACTAAAATGTCTAGTCAGATATTTGCAGTGGCGGATCTAGGGGAGTGCCCCCCCCTTAAAAAGCCGGCAGGGCAAGCAAAACAAAACCACCCCCTCTCCCCCTATAGCTCAAGGTCTGGATCCGCCACTGATTTGAATGTCGTTTGTCGGAAACGGGACCTAAACACCAGAAACAATGAATCTCGTCAACTAATCTGGTAAAACTTAGTCATATCAGAGTGGGGTATCGTCTTCACTTCATTACGTTTCAAGGATCGCAGGATGTTTCCTGGATTAATTACAACTGAATTAAAATCCTCTGGAGCGCCACGCGATGTTATTGATCTGTAATTACGATAAAATCCTGCCATGCGTCACGTGCCGAGAGTTCGGGTCGGCCCCAAACATTAGTCTCCTAAATCTCGGGTCGTCCACATCCTTCCGAAACGAGTTACTTTACAGGTCTTAAGAGTATTTTAAAAGACAACAGTTCATAACAGCACCCCTAGCCTTAGGGACGGACCATTATTTCTTTTTTGAGAGGGGGGAGGGGCATTTTCTGGGGCATGAAATTTTTTTCTCATCTATAGCTTGGGCATTATTTTTGGTGGTTATCTACGGGTATATTACGAACTCATAACGTGACCAGCTCCCAGTTGGCTTAATAGCTTAGTTGGTAGAGCACTGCACCGGTATCGCAGAGGTCATGGGTTCGAATCCCGTTCAGGCCTGAATTTTTTTCAGGCTTTAATTTCACAACTGCTTCGGTTGTGTGTATAACTGCGATGATCAATCATATCTTCAATATAACTTGTCCAAGAATTTT